GAAATGCAAATAATGTGTTTATTCCTCCTGCATTCAGCAATCAAGTATCTGTCAGGCCATTTGCAAGGGGACTGCCCCTGTATTTGGCAGCCCTGAGGATGGCGGAGCTCCAGCTGCAGGGCAAAGAGAGCTAAATCTTCCTGCCAAAGCCCCTAAAAGGCCGTGGGGGGGTTTCTGCATCATGGTGGGGGTGATGCTCTTTGTTTGCAACACTCACATCCACGTTTCCCAGAAGGGTGGTCTGCTTGGTGAGCACATCTATATGTGAAGGCTGGTAACTTCTTAATTTCTGCTGTAACCACGGCAAATGAATTGCATCAGGGTTTGGGAATGGAAGGAGTTCCCCCCACAACCTCAATACCTTTGGCTCAACTGAGGCTGAGGGACACAGCTGTAATTTACAAATGTGGTTATAAACATGTCTTACATTTATTTAGGGATATAAACAGAGCTTTCCAGACCCTGCCTTGGTTCCACTAAATTTTGAAGCCTGTAAGAAACTCCTTTAAGGCAAGACTCCCTCCTTCCCTCCCTATTTTTTTTGTCTATTTCTGTTTTAACAGAAAGGTGATAGCAAATAGCTATTTTTTAAAACTTCCATTGGTGTAGGAATTTCCTGGTTTATATGTTCTTAGACATCTCCATCAACAGTAAAGAAAGGAGAGCTCCATTTGAGATGGTCAGTAGGCAAAAAAATATGTATGTGGACAGATAAATCCTGTCCCTGGATGGATAACAGCTACATACTCACAAGCTGGGAACATTGCCTGATGATATAGGGTTAAGAAAATGTAAATTAATATTTAATTACTTTATCCAAAGTGGAAGAGCTTGGACAGGAGAGAGTCCTATTTCAGAAGGAGTGTAGTCTGGATGTATGAACTCTCCACACAAGACTAACATGAGTAAATAAAGTGCTATATGAAGAAACTTCTGGGCAGGCTGACAAGAAGCATGTCCAAGTGCTTTGAAATAGCCCAGGGTTTTCCCCAGATTCTGCCCAGGGGCTGGTCTGAGCCCCAGGGGAGAGCAGACTGCTCAAGCTGACTGATGAAGTGTGAGGTGGGGATAAGTAAGTGACTATTTATACTCTGAGAGTGCACTGTAGATGGAAGGTGACAGAATACAGACCCTTAAAAACTCGTGGGGAATGAAAGGGAATTTAGTAAGCTGGACTGAAGAAAATAAATAATGAAATGTCCTGGCATGGTTCACTGAGTGACTGGGACGTTCAGGACATCCTGACAAGGAGAGGAGCATGTGCAAGAAGGTTCCTGTGCTCGGGTGCACATCTGCTGAGGAAGAACTGTCAGTGCCTCACACCACGGCCAGGGACACAGAACAAAGCTGAGTGGGAGAGCAGGCCTCTTGCTCCTGGTGAGGGGTTTTTGGCAAGAAAGCCTCTCTCAGCTGCCCCAGGGCTCGGAGGGATGCAGGTTTCACAGACATCCACAGCACCCTGCTGAATGAACCCCGCCAGGTCCTGCTGACAGGGCAGAGCCGCTCGGCTGGTTTGAGAAAGCTGCGGCTGCTCCCTTGTGTGCCACACAGAGCGGTGGCCTCGAGTCCCTGTGGCCACAGAGCCGCTGTGTCACGATCCGCTTATAGCGGGGTGTCGTGATGGTTTGTTAGCCGATCCCAAAGTGCAAAAGACAAACAGCAGGGGACTATCAGTTTAATCACAACAGATGCACCTTTATTAAGGGCAAAAAACCAATAAATGCGATAGTGGGGTCAGAAAATAAATAAAAAGGAGAGAGAGAGAGAGAGAGAGAGAGAGAGAGAGAGAGAGAGAGAGAGAGAGAGAGAGAGAGAGAGAGAGAGAGAGAGAGAGAGAGAGAGAGAGAGAGAGAGAGAGAGAGAAGGGGGAATGGGAATAGCTACCAACACAGGCGAGGTCCTCAGTGGTCCGGACGATGGGGATCCGTCTTGTTGTGTTGGGGAGAGTCTCCAAAGTCCTGCCTAACCCAGGGGTCCAGTTATAGTCCGCAGAGGGAAAGGGGGGAACATGCAGAAAAATGAGAGTCTACTGAAATTGGTATGGGGGGAACAGGTGTATCTACAGAAAATCATTCAGGCTGAACAAACACAATGATGAATAAGTCTATTGAAATTACTGGAGAAGAACAGGTCATGTCATTCCCCCCACCACCACTCTCTGTGGTAGGGGTCTCAGTCTCAGTCCTTGGGGAGAGGGTTCTTGATCTCTGTCTGTCACGGTGGTAAGGAGGCAGATGAGGGGTCTTCAGTGAGAGACCACCAGAGTCACCCCAATAGTTAATTCAGCTTAAAGGTGGAGAGTGAAGCAGGAATTGCAGTAGGCCGCTCTGTGCTGGGTCCACGCTGGGTCTTTGCCAAGCCCTTGCCAAGTTCTTGCCGGGCCTCGTTCAGAACAGAACGTAACAGTACAGCGGCTGCACCTGCACTGTTGCCGTCTCCAAGCCGGAACTGCAGTGGGGGAAGGGAGTTCCTTCTCTTGGCAATCGGCAGGCAAATGAGTGAGGGTCTTCAGATTGCCCCTTACACGCTGTCACACCCGGGAGAGCGCGGGGCGGGCGAGGGCAGGCCGCGCAGCAGGGCCGGCACTGCCCAGCTCCTCCCGCCTGCTGCAGGCCACGCACCGCCTGCTAAGCAAGGCAGCGATGGAAAGCCACGACCTACAGGGAACTATGTGAGGCACGTCGGGTCTCTGGAGACTACAGATGAGCTGGTAACGCCAGCCGTGGAAACAGATGCTAAACTGATTGGAAGTTATTTTGGCAGAAAGCCATAGCTGGAGCAGGAGCCGTGGTACAAACAAATTGATGCAAAATGCATTCCGGAGTTTCAGATCTGTTTGATTTTGGGAAAACAGAGATCTGTTCTCTCTTTGGCATTGCTGTAGGGCTTTGCTCAGGCCACACACCAGTGCATCTTGCTGAAAGCAGTGATGTACAGGTAGAGAAAGCAGCCAAGTGCTGCTGGCTGGCACCAGCACCCACTGGGGAAGCAGCATCTTAGTGAAGCTCCTTGGCTGACAGCTGTGGAAGGCTGCATCACCAATTTCAGCTCCTCCTGCTGCAGGCAGAACTCCTGCACTCATGGTGACACCGCCCTAGAGTCGTGGGTAAACAATGAAAGATCCTGGAGAAATTGTACAAGACCTTGCAAACCGGGACACCAGCAGGGAAATACAGGCTGGTAAAAGGTGAACGCTAGGGGAATGAAGATTAGGACAAAACAAACAAAAGCTGGAAAAGCCTTCTTCCTTAATCTCCAGACTTGGGGTTGAGCCTGTAGTGCCATCAGTGCAGCCGCTCTGAGAACCATCCCCTCACAGGGGCAGGGCAGGGAAACTGGAAGCTTTCTAAGGCTGATTTTTTTCTTTTTTTTTTTTTTTTTGGCAACACACAAGAAATAAATCTAAAACCTGTGTTAGACACAGGAGAAGTGGAATATCTGTTCATTAAGAAATATATTTGGGTCAATGTATTGAAATACTAGGAAGAAACACATGCTGACATCTTGGAGAAAAGCATTCAAATGGACAGACAAGACACTTAACATGGCTGCACCAATGTCTGGTGTACTGCAGCACCTCCTGCAATTCCTCTTCTCAGTCCTCATATTTGTGCTTGATTCTTGCTCTACCCATTCTCAAATGATAAAACTTTTCTTTTCATGGCTAAAATTCAGGGAACAACTTTGCATAAACATATTAAAGTGATGTTTAAAACCTGTACTCTGGGTTTTGCTGTAGTGCTGAACTATAGTCTCATATTTTGCATTTCAATAGCTCTTTATTTCCTAGAGGTCAGCAAAACTGCATGCCAGCTCCATGCTGCCTGCAGAGGAGGCAGGGTTTCCAGCTGGGCTAAAAGGAAACCAGCCCACTGAACGCTGCACTCTGCCTCGTTGCATTGGTCATAGCTTTGGTGCAGTGAGCTTGCACTGTCTTTCCCTGTTCAAATCAGAAAACATGCTTTTTATCCATACAGATGAACCTTAAGGAAAAAGAATATTTAAGGATATTTTGGTTATTACACAATCTAATGTGTCCTCTTTGACCTTCCCATTTTAACAGCAGCACCTGTGTGTTCCTACAAACCCTACATGCTCAGCACATCAATTTCTGATTTTCAATAATGGATTTAGATCCATGTCCTGCAGGGACAGTAATTTAGCAGCCAGCATCACATGCCCTTGACCTTTACTAACAAATATGGCAAACTGTCAAAGCTGGGGCTCTTTCTGCAGCTCATGTGGGATCCTGTAATGACAATAGATTAGCTCTTCTAATCAGCAGAAGTTGCAGTGAGGTGACAGTTGCCGGGGACGTATCTTTTTGTGCATGGGATCTCTACCAAAACACGTCTGTGTAGTGCTGTTGGTCTGTGTTTGGCTGTTCAGGAGAATGAGACAGTTTGCAGAGGGGACTTGACCACTCATGCTCAGCCCCCACTGAAGCAAACTCCTGGCCTTTGCAAGGATGATGCTCTGGGGCCAACTGCAATTTAGAAGGGTTCCGAATCTCCTGTACGCCATGGAAGACAGCAGTTCTGGCTGAGCAGTGCTGCTGCAAGGGGATATGTGCAGTCCATCCCATCCCTGCCACAGGGCTGGTTAGGCACAGGCAAGGGCTCTTCTGCAGCTGAGAAAATGCCTCTGCCACAGCCCAGCTCTCTGCCTGGCTGTTGCCATTTAACAGAGGGACTTCCCCTTGCTAGAGACACGACTGGGTATCACAGATCTGCTGTCAGGTCCACGCTGTCTTCAGATGGAGAAAGAAAAGGGAGAGGAACGGGATATGTTCCACCCACATTAAGGAGGGCCAGTCCTTACCTGCATCTTGAGATGACCACACAGGAGTTGCTGAAGCCTTTGAAACCTCTATGAAAGAGATTCAAGTCCAAAGACAAACAATATATGTAATTTGAAAATACAAATTCCTCTCACACTGCTCAGCTGGGTTTTGTAACCACAACCTTCGCATATTTACATTGGCCAAGGACTCACAACTATTTGCCAGACACAGCTTTTATTCTCACAGTCTGAACAGGCTTCATGTGTGTTAACATTCTTCATACAAAGATACATACAGGCAGTTTCTGTCACCAGAAACATACTGGTTTCAACTGTTCACACAGTAACCATAACAAATGGAGTCCTGAAGAGCACTTTAGGCCCTAAATTGTAATAAAAGAAACAAAATCTGTGCAAGGAGAAGACAAGATTTAAAAACATGCTTATTTAAAATAAGTTTATTACAATGAAATAATATAAAAGTCTGTCAAAGTCTTAAAAATGCTCCAAAAGAAGAGACAGACACTGTATGATTTGAGAGATGATGCAGACTGGAAACTTCATAGTATTTCAGATTGAACTGCTTATGACAGCACAATTTGTGCAAAGTTTACACTGAGAGGTGATTTGGGCAGCACGAACAAGCCCTTAGAATTCAGTAATTTTAAAGTATGAGGCAATATACCTTCGCTTTGTTTTTAAATCTATTCCAGTATGTATATATTTTAATATGCAAAGTAAGGCTTACATTAAACTTAGCTTGACATTGATAAAAATGTATGCCCAAAACTAGCTTGAGAAAAAGAAAACAGGAAAGGAAACCATAAAAGTAAGCTGCCTTGGTTTTCAGTTTAATTATTGCATTCTGGAATGCAATTTACTCATTTAGTTTCAAGTAGACATAGATCTCAAACTTTCAATGTGGCTTTAAATAAAGAAATTAATAACTTTTGGACTCCTTGAATGCTGAAATGCAAAAGAAAGTTGACATAGTGTTAAGAAGAAATAAGGAAATGAAAACAAGGAAATTTCATATTTAAAAAATCCAGCTTTAGCACATTTGAAGTATGTAGGGGAGAAATCTTACACCAAGAAAGGGGTATTAAAAATGACAATCTAAGACTGCATTTTGAAGAACTGCATGCCAGTGGGACGGTGCACGTGTGTGTAAGTGAAGCATACGCCTGTGTCATACCTTCAAAGCAAGTGCTTAAATCCTTGTGTCAACTGTGAGCAAGATCAGCTATGGCCTGGGTTTGCTCAGAGCCAGTAAGTGCATTGTGACACCCCTCCTGCACCAGGGAGGTTTTATATTGCTTGGAGCAAGCAGAAGTTTGCAGGGTTTGTTCACCAGGGGGCTACAGAAGGTACCAAGAAGGCATGAATTCAGTTATTTCCACACTGCTTTTTTTTTTTTTGTTTTGCTATCTGTGCTATGCAGGCAAGAGAAGAGAAATAAATAAACTAAAACAACAAAACAAAAAAACCTTGTGCTTTCATTCCTATGAGGAAGAACACCCAAGTCTGAAATGTCCCAATTTACACTGCCTGCCAAAGAATTAATTTCTGAATATCTGAGTTTATATTTCCATACCTTATAAAACATCCTACTTTGCTATGACAGCAACAGCTTTCATAGCAAAGCAGATAACAGTGGATAGAAAGGAAGGACCAGGTGGGGAAAAGGGTCAAGGCAGCCAGGTACGAACATGCTAATGATCTTTCCTGGTATCTGAAAGACAGTTTATGCTTCCCTAAAGGTTTTCACAAAAGCTGAAGTGACAGTGAAAAGAAACAACTAGAAGGTACAGCATCTGGACATATGTAGCATTTTTTTCTAAAACGGCCCAGACCCCTTTGCCAAAGCAGGTTGCAAACACCTGGGGCAGATTTTGGGCATACTTTTTATATGTCCAACCAACTAAGCAACACTTTTCAAACTAGGAAAGATTTTAAAAGCAAACAGCTGTTAACTTAAATCCTGATGATGAAAAAGCTTGTAAGTGAAGGTACATGGCCCTTAACTTTAAATGCATCTATTAAAGGGAGATCCACAGCACAACAGTGTCAAGACGTTTCAATGACTGTTACGTTTACACTAAAGCACTTGAGAATGCAGTTCATTTTCCACAGTTGTAACATCACAGAACTTCAGTATGGAATTGAGTATGGTGTCTTTGAATAGCAGAGGGGACTCCAGAGCACAGCTTTTTTTAAAAATAAAAACCATAAAAAAACACAAAACAAATAAAATAAATAAAAGTATCTGATTGCTAAGCAGAACTCGACTGAAATTGAGAGTTCTGTTCTAATGCCAATGACATTTATATAACAAAGATGTGTTCATGATCTCTATTCAAATCTGCTGATTGCAATTATTCAGTACTAGACAGCACTTCTATCAGATTGCTTTGGGATTTACCATGTCTCAGCAAGGATGCACACTGTACAGACACTGCCTGTCTCATATGCTGTATCAGACTTCTACGCTTAGCTATGCTAACTTCACAAAAAGCAGCCTTTCTCCCCCGCCTAGGGTAAGGCTGTGATTACTCTTATTTCACCTTGGGTAAGTAAAATCCCTGAGAATATGCAACTGTTAGACATTGAAGAAAACAGCCAAAAGCATTTCTAAAGGAAAGGGATGCAAAACTTCAGACTAGCACAACTTAAGAAACCAAAGCAGTTCATGTAAAGTATAGAGAGCCAAGGTGCTGTTATCTGAGAGTCATATGGATCTCTATCAGTGTGCAGGTCAGTTATAAATGTCAGCCATTAAAAAAAAAACACAACAAAGAAAACAACCCTAACTAATCAACAAACCAAAGAGATGAAACAGAAAACACCGACCTTCTGTCCAATTCTAAATTTGAAGGCCAAAAATTAGTTGCTTGTTCTCTACAATTATTCTAATGCCATCCTCTCTGCTTGCCAAACTGACACCACAGAAAAAGACAGTGAGTTATCTACCAGTGCATTTGCTTCCACTTGGTCATCTGGCCTACTACATCCTGAGAAGTGCAACTTGGAGTTCAGCTCTGCAACGTGCTGTATGGGTTTCTTTCTCAGTAGTGGTTTGACTGCAAAGATAGCATTCAGAAGTCTTAGAAGTGCTCAATGCTCTGCAAGAGCAGTGCATGGAGAAGTGCAAGTTTTGAAGGCAAGGAGACCTTGCTCAATCCATTCTCTGCAAGGCCCCTGTTTAACAACAAGCACAGAGGCGTCTCCTGGAGCCACGGTCTCCTAAAAGCATTCTCAAGCACCAATTCCAGAGTTCAAAAAAATAACTTTACACAAAAGAGCAAGATGAGAAAGCCTGCCCTGAAGCAGGATGCCATGCCAATTAGAGAACATTTAATGTGGAACATTCTCCTTGCTTGTTGGATCACAGAAGAAAGGTAGAACATATTCACTGGAGCTAGTGGCCGAATGAAGCTGTTCTTTGCCTACAAAATAAAGCCTTCTGACTTTTTGAAACAAATTTTACATCTGATGCACACCCAACAAACTAGTGGTTCTCCTGCTAGTTAAAAGACAAACCAAAACAAAACAGAAACCCCAAAAATACTTCCAAATACTCTGAGCTGAATATACTTTCCTACTACTAGAAAAACTTAAGAACAAAAAGGAATTCAATTTTTTTAGTGATCTGACAGTTAATTTCTAGAGAAGAGGGATCTCTTCCTGGTCTTCCCATATCCTAGTTGGTATTCCGTAGAAATGTGGTCTCCATTATCTTTCCAGACCATTCAACTAGAAACTGTTACAGTGAAGTTTCCCACAGAACAGCTGAAAACTGTGAGGAAACCACACAGGGTGGAAAGTTGGTTGTTTTCCTAAGGGGTGGTTTCTTTGGATTCATGCTTAGAAGCAGCAGACAACCAAATTCCAAAAGCTCTCAGCTTCATTTTTAACACTGTGAGCAGTGACATAATTAAACAGAGCTTTGGTCAAAAGTTTTGACTATGTACTCATACACAAACTTAAGAAAATCCACAAAACTAAAACCTGATTATTTCTGATCCCTCTTGAGTACCTAGGAATTACAGATGGGTAAAACCCAAAGAAGAAGACAGAGCAAGAAGTCACACTATTTAAACAGTCTCTTGGGATTCTGGAGGTGTCCCAGCTGACTGGAAGCTGGCAAGCATTGTCCTGATTTTCAAGAAGGGGAAGAAGGGCCCTGGAGATTACAGGCCTGGCAGTCTCACTTCAGTGCCAAGTACAATCATGGGAAGGACTATTCTGGGAGGTATTGAAAAACACGTGAAAGATAATGCAGTCATTGGTCACAGCCAGCACAGCTTCATGAGAGGAAGTCCTGATTGTCGAAACTGATTTCCTTCTGTGACAGGGTAACCTACTTATCTAGGAAAGCCAGCTGATGTCATCTTTTTGGAGTTCAGCAAAACTTTCAACACTTTCAACACTGTCTCTCACAGTATCCTTCTGGACAAGATGTCCAGCACACAGCTCAATAACCACGTTACATGATCGGTGAGCAACTGGCTCATGGGCTGGGCACAAATGGGTGTAGTGACTCATCAGGCTGATGTCCTCTCCCTAGTGGAGTTCCACATGGCCCCATCTTTGGTCCTGTGCTTTTCAACATCTTCATAAATGACTTGGACACAGGACTGGAAGAGATGCTATGTAAGTTTGCCAATAATACCAAATTGGGACAAGCTAAACTGAGATTCCCTTGAGAGCAGGGAGACCCTGCAGAGAGACTCTGACAAATTGGAGAGGGGCAATCACCAAACGCATGAAGTTTAGCAAGGGCAAGTGCCAGATTCTGCACCTGGGTCAGGATAGTCCTGGTTGTGTACATAGACAGGAATGAGATGCTAACAGACACATTTTTATCTGTATCACTAAAATGGGAAAAAGGGGAAATCTTTCTTAATTTTTAGTCACTTCTAAATAATTTCAAAATTCAAGATTTGTAATTGGTCCCATGTTTAATAGCTCCATCACAAATTTTAGATTCCCCTATACTTTACTCATTTCATGTCCACTTGCATGAAGTTTCTGCCCATAATGACAGTCTAGGAAGGATTTTAATGATATCTGCTTTTCAAATTGCTAGCTGTACTCAACTCAAAAGCAAGTATTACAGTTTTGCATGAATTTGATTCAAGAAACCCCTAAAACCTAAAAGGTTTTTATGGCAGGGAAGCCACAGCACACACTGGGAGCTGGTCAGGGAACACAAAATCCTGTTTCAAAGGCTAGACCTTGGGGCCACTCAGACCACCAGCCACATAGACCTGTAGTGAAGATCTCGGTAATATTTGGATTAAAATGCTTATTTAATTTAATAAATATTTATGTCATGCAAATATATTCTTTGCATTAAGAGCTTCAACCCAAATTGAGGGACAAACTCACTGCATTATAAGCTGGTGTTTAGCTGTCCTTCTCTTCTGCTACCAGGGTAACAATAACGCTCACTATCCTCCTACACCAGGGAGTGGGCACAGGGAATGGGAAAGTCAGAGGCAGGTGCACCTGCCTGGGTGCCATGTTGATGGCCCAACAGCTCAGCAGGTCTCTCCTCAGGTACAGCAGCAAAGGCCAAATGCTGCTCTGTTACTTTTATGAGGTGAAGAGAAGAGGAGGTGCACAGGCAGAAGAGAAACAGTCAAAAACATTCATCACAGACATAGTAATGATCCAAAGTGAGACAGTACCTCTGCATTTAAATGCAACACAAGTGTAATGAAAAGATAAAAATCACACATACCCTTCTCCCAGAACACTCAACACCCTTCCCACCTGAAAAGATACAAAAAATGAACAGAAACGATGTCCCAAAACCAAAATGGAAGAAATCTTTGTTAACAGACACAGTCCCTGAATTTTTAAGATGTGGTCTTGCTGTAGTTATACCACCTCATCTGACTCTAACCCATGTACTTCATAGAGAGTGTCCAAGATATTTAGCTGCTTTTCCATGGCTGGTAAGTAAATGTTGAGGTCTCTCTGCATTCCTTTGTAAAATGTTTCTTCCTGAGGATTGCACTCATCTACAGACAGAGCTGCCACAAAATCTTCATACGTTGGAGCTGCTCTTAAAGCTAACTGGGACAGGAAAAAAAGCTTTTAGATTTGCAACACATAATGGGAAAAGAAATACAACTAAAGCCATTAAAAACTTCTAAGACTTCCCTCTTTGCATTTAGACTGCATAGCTTCAATTTAATCACATGTACATGATTAAACTATGAGAATTTTAACTAGAAGGAAGGTTAACTTTATAGAACATTTATTTTTTATTATTTTTGTGTAGATCCCCAGTTAAAGATATCTTCAGAGATGCCAGCTTTTAGAAAGTGTTTGTGTATCATATTTTGTATAAATAAATTGAGCACATGAGGAATTAATTAAATACAACCCCCAAATAAAGTGTAGTTTGTTAGGGGAGCTCCCAACCCAGTGTTACACACCATCACCAGATTCTCAACATGCTCTTTAGAAAGCTCTCTCCAACAATTCTGCTTCTCTCAAAGTTATGATTGTCTGCATGAGGTTTTCCTTTTTCCTTCTGTAATTTCAGTGATAATTTTCCCTGACAGACACAAGGGGGAGCTGCCAGACTGGACGAAAAATTTCCTGTAGCCAATATATTCCACTTCCAACTCCCCACACACACTGCACTAACCTTGTCTGAATGTTCATCATATTCAAAGAGAGATCAATCTTCAAAAAAGCAACTTGAAAGCCTCTTTTTTCTTCATTTACTAGCCCTGCAAGACTGTGCTCAAAAGCACATAATTAAAAATTTGTTCATACAAGTGCAATCTGCCTGTTTCATCTCTAGATATCAGGCTCCACCCTGAAAGTCCAGTACTAAACACAGTGAAAGCCACAATCCTCACTTTGAAAATAAGGTGTGGCAAAGGAATCTATTAATTTTAATACTTAGAATTTTAACACAGTTTATTAATTACACACAATATAAGATCACGTGAACAAGACCCCCAGCTCTATCAGCAGCCAAGATAAAGACTTACCGCGAAGACCCCGCGGACAACCCAACCATGGTGCTGCCGTAATGTCTTTCCATAAGCATTGTCTTAAAGGGAAAAAAAAATAAAAATCAAGAGATAGATGTACAGCAGTTTTAAGTTTGTATCACAAAGAGAACACAGAGCTTAGAAATGACTATTCAAGGGTATATTCTTGTCACTCAATGTAAATAATGGCTGTCTCTGAGTACTGAAGCTATGACTGAAAGGAGATGACAGATTTGGGATTTCTGCACTGGGGTCCCAGCTCTGCTGTCAAATCCCCTTCAACTCATCCACAGCAAGTAAGTGTTCTAACAGACAGGAAGGCTAATGTAAAGTCTAAGAAAATACTGTATAGAGTGAAATTCCAACAGTAAACCAAAGCTGCAGTGGTAGTACAGATATAGAAGAGCTTTTCAGGTGAATAAAGGGGACGAGAAAGTAGAAAAAAACAGCAGCATGACTCTGCTCCAGACACAGAGCAATTCAAGCAGTTCAGTGCTGAAGCCTTCAGACTCAGAAGGTCAAATAAGTGCCTAATCACTTTCCACGGTGTTTAACACCCATATCTGGTAGCAATGTATTTACAGCCTCACTTCCAAGAGCTGCTACTGCAGTGTAGTAGTTCTTTTTACTAATCCTGTAAGGAAACTGTTTCACTGTGTAAAATAACATAATATAAAAAGCTTTAAAAAAAGCTGGTTTGAAGTTGGTTTAAAGGATTATTACAACATTATACTGCATGCATATAGACAGGGTCTTGCCCAGGCATAGCCAAGTCAAGTGTATGGTGGGGGTTTGTATCTTGTTTTGTACTTGATGTGGCCAGTAGCCTGACAGAGAAAGTGTCAGAAATTGTGTACTTGAAAAAATCCTTCTTCTTTATTACAACCTCCCTTCTAATTCATGCAGGCAATTCACAGCCAAATTGGCAAAGAGGTGATTTCAAAGAATGATGGCCAATCACACAAGGAATTAGAAAACTAACAAAACAGCAATTATACATTTGGGAGCGCTCCCACTGCAAACCAGTAGAGAAATCTGAATGAGTCAAAGCATTTGACTGTCTCCTCTGCCAAAAGTATGCCAATTAAAGGAATCTTTATTTGCTAATGAATTGACATTTACCAGTTATCTAGTAACCCATCTCAAGGCAGCCATTTAAAAAAAATTCAATTTTCAAAAATGTTATGTCTTAGATATCACTTGCCTCATCAGACACTGAAGAAAAGAAGACACAAGTTCTAAACACGGAGGAAAGTAGCCAAGTAAGTGAATTTAGAAGCACATGAAGAACGAAGCAATTGGCACTTACTCAGAGCTGTTTGGATATTCTTTTCCCCATTCTTCACTTCCGTCAAAAACCCTTTCAAGAACTTTAAACCTCTGCCATGATGAATCCATAAAATAAAAAGAAACCATGTTTATAAGAAAGTAATCCAAAGTATAACAAAGCCCCCAAAGTTGCAATACAACTCCAAAGTGCAATAAAACTTGGTATTAAGGAGCCAGTTTCAATCTGAACAAAATTGCAGCCACCTCCTCCAGCCTCCCTCCAATTCCAAGGGAAAAACACTTTGCTAAATATTCCTGCTGCAGCTTGAAGTATCTGCTTAGTGCCCTAGCCAAGTAGGATCAGTCAGTCATTCACTGTCATTTCACTGTTACTGGAAAAAGTTTGCCTGCAATGTTTTTTTCAGGCCTTTTGGCAAAGTTGCAGTGATACAACCACAGAAAGCACATTAATCTTGAAGCTGGCCAGTTTGGATTGATGGAGCCTGTGGGAAGTAACCAGCCTGCCCCATGTACATAAGCCTGCACTGGTAAAAGGCCCCTCATTACACCAGTAGCTCACAGAGAAGGCAGCTACAAGGCCATTACCTTTTCAGCCATAGGAGAGCCTCTGTAGCAGAGTTTCTAACTTGGGCTACCCCTGCGTTCACTTCATGGAGCACAATCTTCTGAAGGGTATCAAACTCTTCTTTGTTGGTTATAAATTTCTGGTTTATTTTCTGGAAAGAACATAATAGGCAAAGCTTTAGGTCTTTTAAGGCCCAACAAAGGCTTATAAATACCCCTCGTTTACCAGGACTCTTTCCTGTAAGAGATACTACAGATTCCCAAGGATGTCACACACTCCCCCTGCCATGGCATGGTCGCTCTGACATGCTGGACATGCTATCTCAGGGCACACCTCAGACATCTGGCTAACACAACCAAAATAAAGCATCTCAGTCAAAAATTTACATGGGACTTACGATTTCTATCCAACAAAATGCTTGAAGTTCCCATGACATTCTCCCCACAGGAGGAAAGGAGTTAATTCAAACTGCTCTTCAAACAAAGTTCCATTTGCCCAGAGCTTCAACTACAAGCAAAATTTATCTTCTGACCACTGCAAATTATCACTATTACACTTAGCAGTGCTCAGATGTCTATGGTTTCCATTTATTACCAAGTTTCTATACACAACTCCTCATACAAACAAAAGAGACAATATATAAGGGGCATACAAACAGATTTTTCTTCTACATTAAAGGAGCAGCTGCCTATCCCTTGACAATAAATATTCTATGTTTTAGGTTTTTAAATAGCATTCTTTTCTCTTGCTGTTTTCAGTTTTCCAGTGGCTACCTTTTATAAGATAAGCAACCAAACAAATCTGATTGTGTACAATGTTCCTTTAGCATACACTCAGAAGATACCTTTTGCTTTTGTTTTTCTTTTCTTGAAGGAAAATGTTACAAAAAGTCTTGCTATGAACACATTTGGTCTCATAACTGGTATTTCAAAGGTTTTTGAAGGTACTTAAAGCTGGAAGAACTTCCAGAACAAGAACCAAGCCTGCATGGGCTGCCCCAGTCTGCTGAGAAACTGCTTCTTAAACTGCTTCTCAATCCTACTTGATTGAGCAAAGGGGTTTTTCCCTCATCCCCTCCATTTGTTTTACAGGTTAAAGTCAACATTGCTAACATCACGACTTATAACCTATACAACTCAGGATCAAAGTCATATTCATTAGGTGTAACAGATGTTTTACTTGGCAGTCAATCAAGTATTTTATAAGTTTGCACACAAGTGGATTTATTAAACACAGCATGTACTGTCAGAACAGAATTAGGGGCATTTCAGTGCTATAATCTGACAGATGGTAACATTATCGAATATTAAATAACCGTCCAGTATTGGCTCCTACCAGAAGCATTCTTGAGCACTAGCGTCTAAAGTAGATATTTTGCCTAAAAAATGAAAATCAGTGCTAGAAATAAGTTGTTACCTTGATATTGCCTACAAAATCCATTTTAACTGGAGCAAAAACAGTTGGTCCCAGCTTGTCTAGGGAAAAAAAAAAAGCCATATTTCAAAATTGTGCCTTTTTCCAGTTCTCATGCTTTACTAAAACTAATTTCATTTACTCTTTTAACAATCCCTCTAAATGGCAGGAAAATACTAAATTAATGACAAACCAATGTTTTTCTCTGGAGTAGAACCAATTCATCCCAATTGATACACGTGTTAAAATACTCTGACCTACAGTACAGAAGATTTCAATGGACTGTATGCTCACAGGGCCACCACATTCACTAGACGCAGGGGTCAAGCTGGTGGGATGCTGTGCTGGGTGAAGATCAAAGTCTTTGGAAGAATCAAATGGAGAGTACAGCTGGTGGTGTGCTGTACTAGACTGTAAAGCATCTATGCTGCTTTTTTGAGGGGGAGAAATCACTGCTCCATACAGACACCCAGACAGCCAAACAGCTTATATGTGGGTCCTATCTAAATGTGAGTGGATCCTCTTTAAAGCAAAGGGGTCAGAAACATGTTCTGGTACTAGTCAAACTGATTCTGCTGGTACTGGTTCTACTATATCACTTAAGTAAAGAAACAAATTTTCCAACCCAACTGCTTCACCTTTACTTGCTGCTAGCAGCAGTCAGGAATCAGAAGAAAAAAAGCTGCTTACCCAGAACAGGCACAATTGCATAACATGACTCCAGGAACTCCTCTGTTGGTATGCCCTCTTCCTCCTGAAGCTCAATATCACTGAACCTGGTGTCCAGGACAAGCAGAAAATATTGTTACCATAACAATTATTTTTATGGAACTTCCAAAAGCAAAATTAGACTTCCGGTCCAAGCCATTTGCATAGAGGTAAAATTTATAGACCTGAAACCATCAACATGGCTTTTGTTTTACTATGTTAAAGTAATTGACTGCAGGGAACACACACTGGGTGGTGTGCAAGCAAGGCCTGCAAGTACAAACAAGGGAAAACCTCCCTCTTAACTTTGTACAACTAAATTTACAAAAGATACCTTCTTCCAATTACTGTGCTGTAGACAGTCTCGGCAAATAATCTCAGTAAATGCAGCTTTACAGACAGAAAAGTCTTAAAAATAAGTCAATTTAAGGCTTAACATTAAGTTGCAATAATCCTTTTAATTGAAATCTGTACTACCTATTGCTCATGACACTGAAAAAAGTAGGAGAATCATTTTCATTTCTTTCTTCCTCACACAGAGTCAATCCACTTAAAGAATTTGTTTCTGACTGCAGCAACTTGTGGGCACCACAGCCTTCTACAGCTTGCAGCTTGTCCTCTCCATTGTCTTTAATGCCTAACATTTATAGGAAACAAAAGAAAAACAAAACAAAACAAAACAAACAGTTACATACACATATTATTCCTTTCCATCAAAATGCTTTTCTATTTGAAGGAAGGCACCTGGATACCTGGGTAATGCAAGTTTAAAAGCATCCCCGCCAGCACCACTACTCTCACTGTAGGTTTGGTAGGTGCTCAGACCACATCTCAATCAGTCCCCCCACCCCCAGTTCTTTGAATCTGATAAACCAAGCACCAGGCTGCAGTACAGGTGAGCCCACACAACCTCAGCAAGGGCAGTCTTGTGAGAAAGAAGAGCACTGAAGAAGCAATTTGGTGCAGCAGGGAGCTGACTCATCTCATTGAAAGGAAGATTACTTATCACATGGTTGTAACTTTCCCAGTATTGTTGAAGTGCCACAGTGCATTTTCAAAAGCAAAATAATAATAGCAACATGTTTACCCCTTCTGATAGGTAAGCAAACTGGCTGCTTAGATGGACACTTATATGGTATCAAAGGCTGCTATGTTCTCCCTGATTTCTATAAATATCTTCAAAGTTTCCCAGAAAAAGATCCAGGTACATCCTCCCCACTGTGGTCTATTTTATTTCTTCTCTGGGGCCAAGTACATCTGTTTCACACACAGCACAAGGAAGACAAAAGAAAGACAAAATCTTTCATATACATCCCATACATGGTAAGACCTTCGACCTCATGGAGAGCTTCAGAGAACAAATAAAGAAGCAAAAATGATTCACAGCATCTGCATCATACAATCACAGCTACAGCACATCTTGCTGCCAGACTGTCAAACTACCATCCAGAATTTCCCAGGGAACCTGTCTTTCCAGGAAAGGAATACTTTCAAGTGTCAGTGAGGATTAGAGAGAGACCTGAAGTGGAACTGAACTTCTGGCTGAAGGGATCAAACTGCAAGCAACTCTTTAACTCCAGGTGACAACTGAAAGCAGGATTACAGCAGTGCCTATTAGCTGCAGAACCACTGAACAAACGTGGTGCTGGATGAAAAGAAAACCCCTCATACCCAGACCAGCCATTCTCTGGCCTCAGACATCACTGACATTCACAAGCAAAGCATCTCTGTCAAGGAATGACAGAGATTTGAGTGATGCCACTGATCTGTCCTTCACCAAGCCACACAGGGTGGGGAGTAAAGAAACAGCCCAGGTCTGCAGTGACACTGCAGGACTGCTATGCAAAAAGCATGTGTCGTCTGAAATTTCAAACTCAAACACTGTAAGCCCTAAATGAACAGAGAAATTTGCTATGGAACTTAAGTATTCAAGCACTTTCAAAGACTGACTGCTCTTAAAAAAGGGGAGAGGGAAGAAAAAGTATCTGAGACAAGGCAGAGCTCTTGGGGTCAGAGGGAACACCTAGCTACAGCCATCAACAAGACAAAGCCCCTGGGCCGGCTGGGTCAGCCTATCCTATATGGATGGCTCTGCTCTAACTCCACCCATATCCTAACTCCACCCCATATTGACAACAAAGCCCTGCAGCTCAAATATGTGTAGCCAACAGGGGGTAGCCTTTTCTCTTTCATGCACAGGAACCACAGTACCTAAATGACACCAAAAACTTGAATCAGTTTGATGCCCTTGCTTTAGTGCCGACCCCAAAAATGGGAAAAACTCCAAAGACCCATAAAGGCAAAAAGACTACCAACATTAACTTGGACTTAAAAAATGCTGACTCACTGACTGCATATTTATGTTTGGGAATAACAGCCAGGCAGAGAAAGCCACTGTTCAAGAACAGTACAGTCCATTCAACAGGATATGCAAAAATCATGTTACATTAATAGTTATCCAAATTAAGTTCAGCAGCCCTCAGTAATACAATCACATTGGAGGGAATTTTATACTGAATTAGTTCAATAGTATTTCACTGAAGTCACACACAAATCTGACTTTCACACTATTGCTAAGATAAAGGAAGAAATAAGACGTTTTTTAGGATACCCTTAGATGCAGAAAAGGGTTAATTTTCTGTAAATATTTGTCAGAACAACCAAGAGTGACTAAACGTTCAAGCCCTCAGACATGCACACAAAGCTTCCACAGCTCTTCCTGACACTGCAGCCTTACATACTAGCAGGGAATAATGTGTCTGCCCACAGTGCATGGAAAACCCAAGCCCTACCAGGCTTCAATCTGCACCTGGAGAGCCTCAACTTGTCCAAAAACAAATTTTTGATTTTCTTCTCCATTCAGTCCCAAGTTAGCCATCAACAAAGGCAGCAGGAGCTAAGATGAGAAAACTTGCTAGAGGCAGTATCAGACTAAAATCCTGATATTCCCTCTCCTAGGGGTCAGGGATCAGCAGTCTCACAGGGAGCCTACACCTTCCTTAATTTACACCTATAGAATAATCATTCTGGACAAAAGACTGTGCATATACTTACTTGCCAAATCCTTTGCTACATGATCTTCAACATAAACATCACCAGCCCTCTCATTTGTTTCCAAGTTTAAACATTCCAAACTTTTAATAACTGCTTGCTCTTGATGCTTAATTTCTCCTTTTACACAGCCATTTTCACAGGGGTTCAATTCCACCTGCCTGTAGAAAGGGAAAGAATAATACTTAGTGCATAAAGCATTGCTTGGTAACCTTCCTCCTGTGAACACACACATAACAAGAGAAGAATAGTTGACAGAAGTTATAGGCTGTCACAGGCTGCTCTGAGCAAAGAACTTGTCTAAATTAATACCAAGAATGAGGCAGCTTTTTGCAGCAAAGAGGGAGGATTAAAGACTAAACCTCAGCTTGCAGAGTTCAAGTATATTTACAATGATCTTGACTAAAAAGGTACATAATTAAAAAACACGATTACCGAAAAGAAAATTGCAGGCAGGTATTGTAACTTCTAGAATATCCCCTCATTTGTAATTTAAAATATACATCCTTGCCACCTACTCCAGGAATCAGTCTGCTCACCATCAATGATTTTTATGAGCTTATGGAGCGGAACCTAAAATGCAGGAAGGAGCACTGAGGTGGGACAGAGTTGGCTGTTGATTGAGCAGTAAGACAGCAAGTGGACTACGGAGAAAAATGAAAGGGAAAGAGCTGATACAGAAGAGATATGAAGTGGATGAGCCAGATCCCTTTGTTTCACCTGCTTCAGAGTGACACAATTCTGCCTGCATCCAGTAAGAGTAGAGTTGCAGTAAGGAAAGAACAGACACTACCAAACACAGATTAGAAAGAGAGCGACAGCAAAGACTTCTGTTATACCTTTCTGTCGAGGTGTGACTGGACAAGACAGAGTGCTTTACCTGAAAGACATGGAGGGGGAGAATATTGTTTAAAGCAAGAAGACTGTATCATGCTTCTCAAACTTCACATTTTATTAAACATAAGTTGGAATCAGCAAAAAAAGCCTCCCTAATTCTCTGACCTAGAGGCAGTATAGAGACAAATATGAAAACGGTGCTACATTATTACACTATTACAATAGTCTAAAGAAAAAAAAGAAAAAAGAAAGAAAAGAAAATTTATTTCAGAAGCTAGTGAGCAAGTGTAAAGTGAGACAACACACAGCATGTGGAGAAGAAAAAAATGCAGTGAGCTTTCTTTGCAATGTTTTCTTTACTTAATCAAAATGCTTTGAAAAAAATAGAAGAAACATGAAGCTAGATATCAGATATGGTGAAGCAATCTCATTTCTCATATGCAGTCATGTATCTACCTTCCTACATAGATCTTAACTTCCTGTTTGCCAGAGATGCTCCAGTTTTCCATACATAGTTATGGATCCAGGAATCAACAAAGTGCCCTTCTCATTAGAAAGCTAAGCTCATCAGCTCCCTCTGGCATATTAGCATATATCCAATACTGCTGTAGCTTAACAGAGTAATAATTGCTGTGAGCTCCCACATGCACAAACTTGCTGTAGAGACAAGGTCTTTTGAAACACCACTGTATGACTTTCAGGCCCTGAAAGTTAATGTTTAATAACTTTCACCTGTCATTAAAGGTTAAGAGATTGGTCACTGCTTACTGAAAAAATGGCCCTACCTCCCTTGCAAACCACAAGAAATAGCAGAGTATGTCCAGCGCAGGACCAGTAGCTATGATATGGGTAAAAAGGCACTCCTTACTTCTACAAATGCTACTTTTGACAAAAGAACCCACTAGCATCCCTGCTGATCCTGAGAGAAGAAGATACTGGCCATTACCTTGCTCATTCTGAGAACTGCTAAATTTGGGGATCCAGGAGGGGTCTGATGCAGTAACTCAGAAGTGAAGGCAGTATTCGCAATCTGCATACATTCTTCAAGAGTCTTCAGGAAAGTGTCACAGGTTGATTTCAACAGAGCTCCCATATCAATCTCACTCTGTGGGAAGAAATCAATTGGAAGAAATGGACTCACCACAGAAGATCAGTTTGGAACAACTAATGTCTGCAAAGCCCACAGCTGCTACAGTTGTGATTTCTGGTTAACATGAATTAAAATTCAATGTGTCAGCTGCTCAGAGAACTGGCATCACATATTACTGTGCCTATGTCCCCTTGCAGTATTACCACTCTTTTCAGCCTCTCAGTACAAGCAGCTTAATACACTTGTGTTTTGACATCAATGCCTCTTAGTTATCTTATTGGTGTTAGAAGTGCATGAAATACCAAGCCTGAGCATATTCAACAACAGCATTTCAGGAAACACCACTGACAGGAGACAGGAAAAGTAAACAAATTAAATTGATGCAGAATGATCTGCAGATGATCATTTCAAAAACCTCATGAACAAAAAATTATTGAAATGACAAAAATGCAGAATGAGGTATCACATTGCCTCTTCATCTCTACAAAGTGAGTTATTGTTGCTGAAATGCTTTTAGCAATAAATCTTTGCAGTTAAATGCCAGTAAGATCAGGGAAAGAGAGTCTCCCCCCTGTTGAGTAGGATATTAATGACTCAGGCAGAAAAATTGTGCTTTGTGCAAATTATCTTTTTATAAAAGATCTTTTGCTTTTTTTGATCCACTGTAAACACATGATCATCTACAGGGGTGTTACAGTCTAGATCATGGATATCAGATCTCATCTCACTACTTGCTAGCCCAACATAGGGCAAGTAATTTGCAACAATATAGTAATGCTCCATTTAAACAAGAACTGTTGTGTGAGCACTTTATTTCCCTCAGGTTCTCTGCAGAAGGAGGGTGCAACATTAAGTAACTGGGAGTGAATACTACACTGGGTATCCAGAAAAGCTCATGTGCCCAAGATATTACACATGTGGGCTATAACAAAAATAGAACCGTACCTCTGGTTCTGACACACCAGAAATGCTGGCTTCCTTTGTTTTATGCACTTGCTGAACAAGGAGGTTACAGTACAGTCTAAGTTCAGACATTTTGGTCTTCAAGGCTTCTGTGTTTTCAGTGAACTCTGAAAGTTAAACAAAAGAAAAGTTAAATTTACTGTATCCAGTGTAAGGCAAGTACACAACGTATGGTCTTAGCAGGCCTTTTAAATAGGAGAAAAGCCCTACATATAATATTTTTGTTTTCATGACGTAGTTTAAGCTGCAATCAGTAGCATTGTTTAGATAGGGTAGGTAGAAAACACAGGACATAAAAGATGCATTCTGTCCAACAGAAAGGGATTAATTTAATACAGATATCCTTGAATCATGGGATGGATGAGATTGAAGACACCTTTGGAGACCAGCTAGTCCTACTCCCCTGTTCAAGGAAAGTCAGAGCAAATTACTGAGGTCTAGTCAGGTTTTGAACAGTACCAAGGATGGAGACTACACAACCTCTTCTGTGCAGCCTTTCAGTGCTCCCTCATCTTCACAACATAACCATTTTTGCATATATTTCAGTTGAGTAGTTTGTATCAAAATTCATGCATATTTTCTCTTGTTCAGTCAGGGAGAAGATCCTGGCTTAATCTTTTTATGCTCTCTCACTAGATATTTCCTTTAATCATCTTAGTGGCCCTTTGCTGGACTCACTCCAGTATGTTCATATGTTTCCTGTACTGAGAAACAGAGAGTGCAGAACTGAGAAGACTAATCCAGATAAGATTAACAGTAATTCTGAGATTTTTCAGAAGTAATGTTTTTGATATTTGAGTCCCTGAATTATAAAATAAATTGTCTGTTAGTAAGAATAACATGGTTTAGTTCTGCAAATACATCACTAGCTTTTCACCCTGTGCTACTATATGTCACTTTACAAAGCAGAACTTTGTTCTGCTTCTAGGCACTGCACATCAGATCCTCATCTGGGGAAGGACTCTATAGTAGCATCTTCTGCTCAGTTCTGACTGAGTTTGAACCAGTAGATGCAAAGGCTGGAGATAACACACATAAGGCTAAGAGGAGAAGCAAATCCTCACCTCAGGGAAAGGAAGTGCTTGCCACCCCCTGCATTTCCTCAGGACAATTATAATTTGCTGTTTTCCCATCTTCTGTATACTCATTGTGCTGAAGTTACACAAGGTTAAGGCACGAGGCCTCACAATGTTCTGTGACTGATGCCACACTTGTAAGCAAGAGGGGTTTTCACTATGGGAAAAAGCGAGATTGCTGGTGAAAGCAAAGTGGTAAGTGAATTCATATTCATAGCCTGACCACGATCAGATTTAAGTTTCTAATACTAACAGATTTGGAACCCAGTGCAAATTAATTGCTGAGGCATTCTCAAAATGCAGAAGACAGCCCAATTAGAACATGGAAACATGTGAGGAACTCCAAAGCTGAAGAGACACTGGTGTGAGAGGCTGAGTCATCATATTTAGACAGCTGTACAAGGCGAGGGTCTTACATTCTTGTACAGTGTGCATCACAGTGACCCCTAGGCAGGGCCTATTTACTCATTGTACTTACAGAACTCATCAGCACATAGTTTTCAAATTATTTTTATATAGTGTACTGTAAGAAAAAAAAAATAAAGTTACCAAATCCCTGCCCTGAGAATTAATACCTGAGTTTCTAGTTAATATTCCCACATGTTTTAGCTTTTGGCACCACCAAAGACCTGAAGCACAGGCTGGATACTGAAGTTGTATGTACATGGACCAGTGAAAGCACGGGGAAATATAAAGCAAACATTATGTGCCAGCAAAAGGGTGTTCTTGCCTTTTTCCTTTTGTGTCCTGCTGTCAGTCAGACAGGCTTTGGCAGTTCCAAGTGCAACCAGCCACTTTTGCCTTTCAACTGCATTTCTTGCCTTCAGATAGAAGTACTGCTCCCCTGGGATTATCAGGTCCATTCGTGTGTTATCTGCAGGATGAACTGAAAGCAACATAGATTCAGACCAGTCCCCTGGCCCTTCCCAGCCCAACCAAACATCCCAACAGATGTGTTAGATGGAAGATCAAACAGTAATGAAAGAGGAGAAATCTCTGGTCCCAACTTCCCCCACTGCCATTTTATGACTTCTCTTCTGTTAGAGTTAGGACACACATGTCCAGCTATGAAAGACAGTTTTGTGATCAGTATAATCTGAGAGTCTTTATGGAAAGGGCATCCTTTTCTGGCAAGCTTCTCTTTCAAGCTTCCAGCTCTTAACTGAGCCTCAAAAATGTGGCAATATGACTGAGCAGACGTAGTACTGAAGTTTATTATTCATGTTTCTAGCTTCAGCTCTGTGCTTACGAGGCATCATTTGAAGCTGTGTGAAGTTCCACCACAGCTCATGAAAAGCAGTGACCCATCTGCATGAAGATTACCCACGATATTAGAGACTTGCAGTTCTCTCAACATTTTCAAAATACTATGGTATAAAAACTTGCATGTACATCAAGTTACTGCAAATACACACCAGAGAAATCAAGCTGCCAAATAGCTCTTGTCACCTGAAATCTCATCTTGAATGTAACATTATTGGGCAAACTTAATGTAGCTGAGTGTTACTGTATCTTAGTTACCTTGAATTTCACAAACAGCCATTTGGATGCTTCCCTTACAACCCTTCCAAGCATCTTCCTGAGAGTCATAATAGGACAGGATGCCACCACAGAGAAGGAACCACCGAGGCTGCCAGCCTGAAAAATAAAACTGCATTTCTCAGTTACACCTCTCTCTGCAATTCCACCATCTGTCTCACTGGAGACTTGATGCAAATATGCCCCCAAAGATTCTCAGTCCCCCTGGAAAACTAAACCCATTGAAGTATTAAGATTTGTGGACAGACTTGGATGTTCTACACCATAACCCCTGCTTTCTGACACCTACATGTCTGTTCTGCACACAGGTGGACCACAGCAGCATGTGTCTTGAGATGCCATATGTCATTTTCAGTAGTTTTGCTAACACAGCATCACTGACTCACTGTCTCTTCCAAAACCACCTTCTCAGTTCAGCACCCCTCAATTTGTTCTACCACTCCTCAACCCACTTCTTCACTCTTCCCAAAAGCCACCCCAGCTGTCTTGCCTTACAAGTCTTCCTCCCTTGAAGGAAGGACTAGCCAGGTTATCTTGAAAAACAACGTGTAAGAATCTCTCAAAAATCAACAGACGAGCAGAGGCGGATCCGTTGATTTCTGAACATTCTGAATACCATCTTTCAGTGAAGCAGTTTTCAACAGCTCTTGAAACTCCTTGTGCAGCCCACTTAAAACATAGTCTTGAATTACTGACCTGCACTTCTGGATACTTTCCCAGAGAAAAAACAAAACAAGCGTAGACCCACACCAGTAGTTCTGGGCGTGCTTTTGCCCACCCTGCTGCCCAACTTTAGAAGTAAATCATGCTTTTTTTTTCTACTTTTGGAATCACTACAGCAGTATAAAAAGATAAAACCAAACATACGACCTGACAGCGGCCATTTATGTCCAATTAAAAACGACAAGCTCCTTAACTTAATAAGAAATGAGGCAGCAACGTCACTGGAGGAAAGCAGCTTTCATTTACTGAGCTGCAACAGGCTTCCCTGGCCAGGTCCAGTGCATTGAGATTCTGACACTCCCACATTATGCCAGCCAACCATCTCTGGAAGAAACACTTGGACAAGACCATGTGGGCCACATGGCTCTATTAGATATTTTGGCAGAGGGTCTTCAGCTCTGCTGTCCCCTGCAGCAGGGCTCTGCCAACCAGAACTGTGCTGCAGGTGCCCAGGCTGGGCTTGGACTGATATCACATTGGAGGATTGACAGCTCCTTTCCTCAGACAAACTGCTGAAAGCAAGCACAACACAGTTTAAGATTAGAAAGGCCTAAAGCCTTAGGCTAACAGCAGGAGTATGGTCTGGCTTGTCCCCCCTCCCCCCGCCTTTTGTTTTTTTAAATCAATACCACTGCATTCAGTCCAACCCAGTTTATAGATTGCTGAACCCTTTGTGGTGGCTGGAAAACAAATAAAACATAAATAGTATTTCATTCCCTTCTAGATCTCTCCATTATTTCCCAGAAGAATATAAAAATGTCAAAAATCCAAAGTACTCTCAACACTTCTTTACTTTATATGAAGAAGAAAAAAATCACAAGAATGAGAAATAAAAAAAAATTAAAAATTAAAAAAAATAAATCAGCAAGACTGGTTTCTGTTTGTCTTGCCTCCAAAATAAAGCAACTATCCTGCAAGTCACTACTGATATGTGGGAACTCACAAAAAAAGGAAGTGATTGTTCAGCAGAGAGAAGCAGTTAATTGCTTCAGACACTCAATGGCACAGAACCAATTCTTTAAATAATGCACAGCGCCACAGTCAATACAAGCCTCTAATTCAGTCTGGTGCTCCTGCTGCTGCGCATGAATCATTTCAGCCATGGTCCTACAGCTTACAATTGCAGCTGATGCTCAACCAAATTGTGTCCCATCCATCAAAGGCTGTGCAATCAATTAGCCAAAATACAAATCACTCTGCCTCCATCACTTTGGAGGCTGCTTAAAAATATGTTACGAATGAATATATTTTTTGAGACTTTTATTTGGTTGGTTATTTTGGTTCTGGGTCTTGGTGTTTTTTGTGGGGAACAGAGTAACTATCTGCATTCCTTTGCAGAAGCCAACTCTTCTTTAATTATTAGATACATATTAAAAAAAGATTGTGATAGACCATTTTGACCTAGGACAATATATATTTTAAGAACAGAATTGTTACACTAATAAAAGCACGTTTTTGTAAAAGAAAAACAATTTAAAAAACCTCCCAGCAAGGTTCTGTCAGAAGATGCACTAACCACCTGGTACTCACTGACACTGAGTCAGCAGCCATGGGAAGGTTATCCTAAACAACCAGCTAAAAATAGCATGTGGCTGACAAATCATGGGCATTGCACAGGGATACAACCTTTAATTACAGGAGCTTCACTTTTGCAGACAAGTGAAGAATGGAGGAACAAAAAAAAACAAACCAAAAACCAAAGTAACAAAAAGATACTTAGGCACTTCCAATATCACAAATCTTGGGTTTACTCAGTGTTATTTGCCTCCTATAAATCTGTCATAGGAATATTGCAATTTTTGGAACTGAGCATTCAGATTTCACCTGATACGGAAAGGTAAAGCAGAACCTTTTAAGGTCTTACTGGTGCCAGCATTAACACAACTTTGAAGAAGAATTTAAGTCCATTATACTGGTGGTGCACAGGCAGGAAAAAATACAGCTCATACTTCCAACATCTCATTTTAGAGGCACAGTACAATTAACAATAAAAATTGACCTTGGTGGGAAAGGTATGCACGAAAAAATCCCCAATAAAGCACAAAGCACAATAAAAAGTGATTAGTAGCTTAGGGTCCCAGCCATATAAGAGAGTGAAGATATTCCAGATGACTTCACAGGCACTGGTCAAAGTACATATTGCACTCCTGTGTGAAACCTACAGTTAGTGCCTGCAGTACCAGGAAGACCTGATATTGTCCACTACAAAAACAGATATTTAAGCAGTCTGTGCCTGCTAAGGATTCTCGAGAATTTTCTACAGAAATATCTGCCTACTTCCATCATTGCACTTGAGGAAATCTGGATGTAGCTATCACTGAGCAAACTTGACATTTCTTGATAACACAGTTGAAATTTGGATATAATTCAAACTTTAATGTTATACAACCCAGACTCCAGACAGCATTCCTTCCAAAGTGCCAAGCCTGAAGGAAAAAAAAACAAAACAAAAACAAAACCAACACTATAAGACAGGTAGATCATGTCAGACATCTACAAAGCCATCTGGGAGAATTACATACTCAAGAATTCAAATTGATGACCTGGAAAACAAACTGCAATTAAGAGACACCACTTCCACCTGCATTTCCAAAATGCATAAAACCCAGACATCCAGGATTTTATTATTGCTTGTTTTCCATGAGAATTATTTAACACTTGAGGCTAATTAATTTCTTAAGTGTCAGAGTAAGTTTCTGTAAAACTGTTTCAGTAGATAGTCCTTGGATTCTTTGACCCTAATCCAGACTTTAACTGCAGATAGGAGATAATTACGAACTTTCCATATTACACCACCTGCCTAATAGGAGGAGTTAAAGCCACCATCACCTCCCTACTGCTTATAACAAGGGCAAGATCGAAGACTTAAGTGCAGATGGCATAGCAGGACAGATATAGCAGGACAGATCACTGTTTTTCTGTGCAGGGTCACAAAAAAGTCCCAGCGTGGCTGCCCTGATAGTCAGAGCCATCTCACTGTGAGAATGAGCAATATCCATGCTTTCATCCCACCCTGAGCAAATGTAAACTGTGCCATGTGCTCACTGTCCCACCATCTCCAGGTTTATCTCCCAGGGGCAAAAGCACCACATCGTCTGCCCAGTGCTGTGTCAGCGACTGATAGCAGGACAAGAACTGCTGAAAACTCAGCTCTAGCGGGCAAAGACACTATCAGTCAACCAGGTTTCTAGTCAGAAAAAGCAATTAGCAAGAAAGGATCTTACACAGATCAAACTTCACACTTTTCCCCTATTTTTTCATTCAATGAACAGAAGTAAAAACTATCCTGACATAAGAATTTTTCACTCAAAACTGGCGCCTATTTTTTCTATACAGCCTCCTAAGGCTACCCAGTATTTTGGGAAGGGCAATCCCAGGACTGGAACACATTTTGCAGCCTTAATTCTATAGCAGAACAATCTGACAGGATAAAAATCCAGTGTGTGTCCATGAGGGACAGCAGAAAGGCAGACAAGACTGTGTAACAATCTATGCTTCTTCTGTGAGCTATTATCCTGTCACAGACAGCAGCTTCTGGAAATGCCCGTATTGCAATTTTACTCAGATTATGTGCATATCAACAGCAGGAGTCAATACAAAAAACCCTTAAAGGTAATGAAGATCAAAGATTTAGCACTTTAACAACAGTATCACTTTTTAAAGCACTTGCTCGAGGGACATTAGAGGTTCAAGTGAAGGAAGAAACAGCTGGAAAAGGCTTTAACACAATTACCTTCTCCCAAATGATTTTTCTTACAGGGATTCCATAAAGTCCATTTTTGTTTCAATTACAAGTGTTAGGGCAATGTTAGCAGCATTGAAAAAGCATCCTGTCATCACAGGGCGACTGGGTTTGTTTGCAAACTATTTTATGGCCATGACCAGCCAAGGCACAGAGAGCACAATGTACTAGTCAGGTATTTTTGAAGGGGATGCAGTGAAAGGATGAAGGATTGTGGTGGAAGCAGAAGTTCAATAACACAGGCCCACTGCTCAGACACTAATTCAAGTAATACAAAGCTCCTGGGAGTTTTCCTCTTCTGTTTATACTTCCCAGCCCCAGCAAACAAGCTGCTCCTCTCTCTGACCCCTGGGGTGGTTATCAGGCCAGAGTAAGTTAACATAGTGAATTTATGTAAGCACACACAGATACCACATGATGTTATCTCTTCACCATCAGTCTACCACACCTCTGGTTTCTGTCCTACCCAGCCATTCCCTGTGATCACTCACTTCAGCGCAGAGAGACTGAATGCAGAGGCACTGGTACTGCAGCATACCTGGCAGGGAACGCTGCACCATGGAGGCTCTGCAGCACTGCTCTAACTCTTACAGAGGAGAGAGGGGACACTGATTTCCATTCCTGCAGCCTCATCGAACTTTTTCTACTGTGAGCACATTACATAATTCTAAAAAGGTTGGATAAAAGCAAGATTGCTGCATGAAGAAATAGAAAGGGAAGAAAATCGTGAGAAAGGTCAAATCACACAAAGACATTTAAGCAAAATCCAAAGAGAATTAACCAACAGTCCCTGAAGTATACTGCATGAAAAGTCTCATCCACCCAGAACTGGCTGAGAGTCAGGCATTCATCTAAACCAACACCTGGATCCTGAGAGCAGCCAAAGCCAGTAATAGAAGGCAGACCATTGCCCTGAAGGCAACTGAAACATCAGCTGTCTAGGTCCACCTCCAGGAAAACCAGACTTCTAATTTTATACAACCAGAACTTGGACTATACCCAGAGGCTAAAATGAAGGGGAAAATTATAAAAGGCGTTTTAGAACTAAATCTTTATCTAAGTGTGAAGTTTTTGATTAATTCCTCCATGTCTGGAAACAAAGGAGCTTATTTCCAGAGCTTGGTATCAGCTGGAATGATATGTGTCTCTCATCCTAAAAGGTCAGATTTCTTAAACTCACAGAGTTTTTGCTCTAAAGCAATATCATGTGCATCCAGATCCAAGATACAAGAACTAATGCTTTTTCACATTTTCTTGAGCTCTACTTCCAAGTTTATTAAGGAATTCTAAATCATTAGAGACAAGAGCAATTTAAACTTTTATGTGAAAGCTGACATATACTGCTTAGTACCAACTCTTGATATCTTGGGATAAACTGAAAAGAATCCAAGGTACAACAATAAACTGAGAGGGGATGATTACATACAGGTAAATGGGGAGAGCTAACTGAAGTATGTGGCATGATGCAGAGTCACTGGTGATGGCATGAAGGTGAGTCTATCATGCCTTGAGGAAGATTAATTACTTAGGGTTAGAATTGCTCAGCACAAACAAGGAAGTGAATATTTAAATATGAGAGAAAGCTTAGCTTTGTAGAGGAAAGTGATCAAAGTAATTTTATGGAGCAAGTAACAAATACCAGGCAAGCCAGTGGAATCAGTCATCATTTTTCATCTAATTATGAAGTTGCCTTTGAACCCCACAGCCAAGAGCTGATGCATACCACTTTTCCAGTTAGCAGCAATCCTGCCTGTGGCTAGCAATCCCAGGTAGGGTATGTGTCTACACTGAAGATCTGAACTGATTTTCAGCAGAAAGAAAAAAATCAACTTGGAAGTGCCAAGCTCTCACACACACTACTGAAGGGAGGTATTTCGGAACTCCATGCTGCCTCCCAGCAATATACTCGTTCTATAAACCTGATGAGAAAAAATAAATCATCAATGCCTTTTACAAGGCAAACTCCAAAGACTAAACCAATTTATTTTATTAATCAGAAGTTATGCTCAAAGAGCATGCATTACAGGTTAAGTTCAGAGAGTCCCACGGGAGGCAGTTTCCAAGCAGCAAAGAGCAGCCTTCACGTGCAGTTCAGCTCTGCTCTGTCCTTTATCCTGCCAGCAGCATTCCCCAGCTGGAGATCAGTCACGCTGTGACACTGCAGCCAGGATCTGCCTTTGATGCTGCCCACACCAGAATGGTTTGTGCTCTGCCAGGACTGCAGCCAGTGACTGAGGAGCTATAGGGAAGGCACACGGTGACACTTTTATCATTCCAACTGCTTACTACAGTAAGTGGTTCTGAAACAATAGTTACACAGCCATCCCCAGCCCCCACCACGCAAAGCTAACATCAGACAGAGACTTTTGGCAAAGGATGAAATCTAGGAATTTTTTAAGATCATGTTACATGCTTTGACTATAAGCTTAGCTGAAGCCAACTTACATGCCTGCATGATTTAAGTCACCCTGCCCTGGATTTTGAGGATTAATAACTTGAAGTTTGCACATGCATTATAGATTTACACAAGAGAAAAAGTGCTGTCTCACTTTATATGATGATAATTCTGCTTGCGAAGTTCCCTGCTCTCTTAAGGTTTTAACCAGTTTGGTGGGGCAAGCATAGACAAGATCAACTGAAAGACACACACCGCAAACACAAGATCCCGATGGATTTTCATAGGCTACAACTTTGTGAATGTTTTCTGATCCAAAGTTGCCACGCTTCCCTTAAACAAAAGTAACACACTGAGAAATCACTATCTGCATTAGGGGACAGAAAACCACTAAAAATCTCAGTTTTCTAAACACAAGAGATTTCCAAGTTAGCACTGGAAACCCTGCATATAGAAAACACAATGTGACTGCAGGATCAACACCAGAGGAAAAACCCCACCTCCACGCAGAAACCAGGTAATATTGACTTGAGTTATTCTAATCTATATAAAGCAAACAAGTGCATTTATTACAAACAAGATAATTTGTTTAAGCAGTAAGGCAAACTGATCTGTCTTTCAATTGGTGGCAATCATGGTATGCTTTCTTTGCCCTTTACCCACAGAAAACCAAAATTGTTTCCTATTTCTGAAACATTCTTGCTGTCAATAACTATGTAATTTGCAACACAGATCTAGCTCCGAGCCCAAGAGCTGGGAGGAAATGGGTTGATGTGGACTTGACCTCTCATGATGGCAATGACATAAGACATTATGAAATCAAAATTCCCAGAAAAGACTCAATTACCAACAAACTCGCATCAGCTCCTCTTTCACAGCAAGAAGGAAAAGCAGTTCTTTTCTACAGTTTGATGCTTGCTCTTTTTTAAATGCTCTATCTCTTCTCTGACTGTGAGGGGTCCTCCTCATCCTGAAGTCCATCAGCACAGGCACACATCGACACAGAGGGATAACACACAATTTCCCTACTTTTTGCATGCATCGTTTACACTGTACTGCACCTGATTCATCAACCTTGACCAACAGGAAAAGCATACTGGGAGCAAAATACTGGCAGAAATACTGTTCTGGATGACCTGTTGAACCATCTTACCTCCCATAATCTCTGAAAGGAGATTTTCCTGTCTCTCACTCTCCAGCTCTTTGTTATTGCTACAATGAACACCACATTCCAGAATTAATTTTTTTTATTTTTTTTGCATTTCTGCATAAATGTATAACTCAATGGCTTCAGGGCAGAAAGTCTTCATTTTATGGCAAAATAAAGCACTAGTATATACAGACAGCTTGCAGAACAGCAAATTTACTGCTCTCAAACACACCATGGGCCCTCTACAACCTAAGAAAAGGCACAGAGTGACCGTGACCACCACGCTTATTAGAAATCAAGTTTCAACCAAGAAATCAGAAGGATGCTTCAATCTTGACAGATTTTCTCTGTAATGACAGCAAAACCTCTCTTAGTTTTCAGCCAGTACAAATCTTACATATGCAAGGAAAAGTTTTCCTTCAGTCTGCATTCACTTGACTGAGGTTGGCAAAGCATCATCCTTCTTCATGAAGGGTCATTTGATTGGAATTGCTTATTCATGTGGCTAGCAAAAGAAAATTTAATTTTGATGAAAACAGAATACTTCTTAGTCTTCATCTTACCAACAAAACAGAAGACCAGCTGATCCTACCACAGGCACACTCAGGCACTAAAATGTCAAATGCCAATCAGCTATCTACAACATGCATTGCTTCCCACAGACACTCATTCCCAGGTCTCATGGCACTAAACCAAGCACAAGGGTTCCAGACACACCCCAGCATCTCAACAATGCAAAGAAAAACATATAAAACTTTTGATCAGCTGAACCATAGGTGGTGCTAGTTTGAGGAAAGGACTAATATCACTACCACAGTTCTGCAATTCACATGAAAAAGGCAAGCATGACTGCTCCTACTGCCTCTTCATAATTCAAGAGCATTCACAAATAATTAACAACAAAAGAAAAAATCCATGTCTGTTCACTCAGACCTGACAAATTTTGATTCCCATCTCAGAACACCTATTGCCTAAAGGGGAAAAGTCACAGCAATCTTTTAGCACAGCAATCAATCCAGCCTCATGCACCACTGCTGCCCCCCGCCATCCCTACCACATGAATTCAACACTCGCTTGTGTTTCTGCTTTTTCTTTGTTTAATTTTGATTTCCTACACTTTCCCAGCTAGCCAGAGTGGTGCAGCTGTTCCAGCCTCTCGGGAAAAAGCAAGGCGGCAGCCCTTGTACATACAGCACCGAGCAACACTCGCACCTGGCAATGTCAAGGTGGTCGTGGTTACTTCTCTCTGACCTTCAAGTTTCCAAACCGTTCCTACAAACCAGAGAGGTTTGCACCTGCAAGACCCCATCCACAGCCCCAGATCACACGCCGCTGCCACACCTGACTCGAAGGCAGTGGACATCCCATGGGAACACAGGGGGCTTCTGACCCCACCACCTTCAACCTCTGCTGAACAAACTCTGGCCACACACGGCTGCTTCAAACCTGCCATGGAAATCAAGCCTTCCGTTGCACGGGAACACCCGAAAAATTAAAATTTGGGCCTAGAGCTAGCCGGACAACCCCCCTCCACCTTTTTTCTTGTCTTTTTGGTTTTTTGCATGCCTTCTCATCCGAATCCCCCAAGTGAGACTGTATGGCAACACGTTTTTCTCCCAGCTCCGGGAATACCCCGAATCCCCGACTCGCCTCAATAAAAGTTCCACGGGGGTGTGTGGAGACCGGGGAAGTTCGCTGTCCGAGCTGTGACCCGCAGCACCCAAACTAGCCCAAACCCCGACCCAAGACGGGCACTGGCACCGGGATAAACGCCGGGCAGTGACAATAAGGCAGCGCCGGGGCTGCTCCCCTGCACGGCGGGGTCAAGGGGCAGCGCTGACCCGCACCCAGCAAGCACAGCGAATATATACATGTATGTACTCGTACAAATACATGTATGACAAGACGACGGCGACCGATCCGCAAAGGCTGAGCACTGGCAGGAACTCACCGCTCAGGTAGTTGGTCCACTTGTACAGGACCCCCTCCATGCCAGCCGGCCCCCGGCCCCATTCAGCGCGGCCGCCCCCCGGTGGGGTCACGCCGCCCGCCGCCGCCCGCGCTCCGCCGCGCCGCCGCCACACAGCGCCATCGCGGGGGGGCGCGCGCCCCGCCCGGCCCGCGCCGCGCCCGCCCCCCGCCGCCGCCGCCACGCTCCCAGCGCAGGCAGCGCCGCAGCCGCGCACTCGCGGCACGGCCTCGCAGCGCTACGTCAGCGCAACCCGCGCTGTGAATCGCCACCCGCGTGACAGGCGGGAGTGAGAGGCGGGCGAGGGGGGCAGGCGCGGAATGCCCAGCGCAGGTGGCCTCTCGCGGCCAATCGGAACGCGCCCTCGCTGCGGCCGCCGCCCAATCAACGGCCGGCAGCGGCTGGCTCCATTGTGCGCGCACTCCGCGGGGCTGCCCCGCTCGCCGGCGCTCCCGGAGCGCTCGGCCCGCCCACCCCCCCCTTGGCCGCTCGGGCCTGCCGATTGGATGGGCTGAGGGACGGACAGGGGCGCGCACCAATGGGAGACCGCTCCTCCTGAGCTCGCCCTGCGCGGAGCCAATCAGCGAGCGCGGTGCCGGTGCCGGGCCGTCCAGAGCCGGGGCTGGCGGCGGTGCGCGCCGCTGCCACGTCGGACGGGCCGGCGGGGAGCGGGATGGCGGCACCGTGAGGGGAGCGAGGCGGCGGCGATGGCGGCGGCGGTGCTGCTGCTGTGCTCCGCCCTGCTGTGCGCGGCGCTGGGCTGCGCGGGCGCGGCGCTGATCCCCCCCGCGGCCGACGTGAAGGTGGAGGTGCTGCACAAGCCTTTCCTCTGCCACAGGAGGACCAAGTGGGGGGACATGATGCTGGTTCACTACGAGGGCTACTTGGAGAGGGACGGCTCCATGTTTCACTCGACGTAAGTGAGCGGCGCGTCTTCTCCGAGCGAGCTGCTGGCTGAGCTTGAGTGGGGAAATACACGTGTGTGTGTGTGTATATATATATATATATATATATATATATATATATATATATATATAAATAGAATCATAGCATGCCTTGAATTGGAAGTGGCATTAAAGATTCCTTGGCCCTTTGACTAGATACAAGTTGCTCAGCAGCCCCACCTGACGCGCCTTTGAACGCTGCCCAGGTTGCTCAGAGCCGCATCCAGCCGGGCCTTGAACAGCTCCAGGAATGGGTTATCAACAACTTCCCCGAGCAGCCTCTTCTTGTGGCTTACCACCCTCACAGTAAAGAACTTCTTTCTAATATCTGACTGAGCCTACTGTCAGTATAAAGCCATCACTCCTTGTCCTGTCACTACATGCCCTTTTAAATTGTCGTCATCTTTCTTGTAGGCTCTCTTGAGGTACTGGGTGCAATTAGGTCACCCTGGAACTTTCTTTATACCAGGCTGAACAATCCCAGTTCTTTCAGCCTTTCCTCATAGGAGAGGTGCTGCTCCATCCCTCCAACAATCTTGGTGAACCTTCTCTGGACTCGCTCCTTTATGTGTGTTTATTTATTTACTTATTTATTTTAATATAGATGATCTCTTCTGGTCGTGCTTTCCTGAATCCAGACCTCTCACAGGGGACCACAGTCCATCTGCAAATAGCTCTGTGAGGAGCATTTTGTCAGGGACAAGTGGTTTTTTGGTTGGTTGGATTTTTACTCCTCCTTCCCCAAACTCCCAAAACTTGTGTTTACTTGTTTGCAAGGAAACAAAAGCAATGCATGAATGCCTTATTTGTTTTGGGATAAAAGAGCTTAAATAACACTGCATAAACTTGTCATTGGGGCCCCTCCCACTGCCACTGTTCTCAGAAAGTTTGGTGTGAAGCAGTGTCTCACAATGCTGTACAAGATGAACACCAACAGTAAGGCCAACCTCCTTTCCCAAGGTTATAAAATAAATCTTACACAGCATTTGTTTTCTGGTCAGTCTGTAGGAAGTAGAGCCATTAGCGTTTTTTAAAAGATTTTATGCATGGAGCACCTATCCTGTGTGGGATGGCTGAGAGAACTGGCATTGTTCAGTCTGGAAAAGAAGAGGTTTTGGGGTGACCTAATTGTGTCTTTCCACTGCCTGAAGAAAGATGGAGAGAGACTGTTTGCAAGGGCATGTAGTGACAAAACAAGGGGGAACGGCTTCAAACATAGAGCAGATTTAGATTGTTTTATTAGAAAGAATTTTTTTTTACTCTGAGGATGGTAAGACACTGGAACAGGTTGCCCAGGGAAGTTGTTGACAGCCGATTCCTGGTGGCGTTCAAGGCCAGCTTGGATGGGGCTCTGAGAGCCTGGTCTAATTGAAGGTATCCCTGCTCATGGCACAGGGGGATTGGAATTGGATGGTCTTTAAGGTCCCTTCCAATCCAAACCATTCTGTGATTCTATGATTTAGGTGCAGGTTTTGGTATTTGATCTCAGCGGTTTAATAGGTCTTGTTCTATGCATAAATTTCTATTTGGTTTCTAAAGCAAACTATTAGTTTAAAAAAAAAAGTTACATGTGTCCCTCCTCTAGAGGCAGCACAATCACAGCTTGTCATTATTCTTTACCTGCCCCCGACCAGACAAGTCAACATACCAGAGCCACGGAAATGCAAATAGGAGGAAGAGCCAGAAATTCGAGGGAGTCTGCTAAGAGCCTGCAACGACTTGCTAATGTTGGATGTCCTGTAAAACATCAACGAAGTGTTAATAGTGGTAGACAGCAAAATACTTAAGTCTCTGCAGGGTGCCTGAAGGCTATTTTTGCATATTTAAAAAAAAAAAAAAAAAAGAAGACAGTTTTGCATGTTTATGCTCTTGCAGATGATTCAACTAAATTCTCACTAATTTTCTCTTGTAGTTAACCTGCCTCTTTAAAAGGACTTCTAGTGACACACTAAAGTTTTTGCTGCTAACTTCTGTAAGTGTTCTGTTTTCTTCCTAAACACCTCTCCTGCATGACTAGTAAATAGATCTTTCAAATTCCTTGTCTGTCAGTAGAGTGAAAGTAGTCCGGGTTGTACCATCTGGTTAAATCAGAAAAGGTCTCCCAAATCTAAAGTTGAATGTTTTGCATGCATTTGTTTCTATTTTTTTCTAGATTGTTATGTAGTTGTTTTGTTGTTTTTTTCCCCTGAATGGCTTCTTTTGAAAGAGATGAGGCTGATTCTTCTAAGCATGTTAAAATGTATATTGCTAGGATGACCATGCTGATCTGTGATTGCAATTTAAGATGGCCTTGCCTGTAGATTTGTAAGAAAAATGCCCTTCTAGTCTGATCAGTTTCCAAGTGGAAGTAGGTGGTCAGGGAAATGAAGATTTGGCTTGGTTAGTGTTGTCATAAACACACAAGGTAAATGTTTTACTTCTTTCCACTTCCCAAGGAAGCTTATCATGCAAAGCATAAATTTTAAAGACTTTGAAAGTGTAGGTCTTTCATTTGAGGTGTCAAGGTGTTGAGTGGTGCTGTGCTTTTAACTACTTCTCTACATTATGAGCATATTCCATTGGCCCTTTGTGGAACTTGATGTTTAAATATGAAGTGTTTCGTTCCTTTCTTTTCCAGTCACAAGCATAACAATGGTCAACCTATGTGGTTTACACTTGGCATAAGGGAAGCTCTCAAAGGCTGGGACAGAGGGTTGAAGGACATGTGTGTGGGAGAGAAGCGGAAGCTGACTATTCCACCAGCCCTTGCTTATGGAAAAGAAGGGAAAGGTAAAACATGTGAAGCACTACCCTTGCTCTAATTGTTTCTAATCTCTATATTTTACTGTTATGCTTGGCCTAAGAGGTTAGCAAGCTTTCAAGCTTTCCAGGTTGAGTCCGTTAAAGAAGAAAAATTGAGGGAGTAAAGTGCTCTTACTCATAAATTTGTTTCCAGTAGTAATATCCATTAAGTGGCTGTGTTGTGAATGCAGGAAGAAAAAAAAAGCCAGAAACTGATGGTAGCTGCTGTGCTGTATGTTCTAAGTGTCTTTTCTGTTAGTGCTGTGTGCTCAACAGTGCCCTCCTTTCTCTCTCTTTTTTTTTTTTTTTTTTAGTTTGTTTTTTTCCCCCTTCTTTTACAGTCAAGTGGAGGTGGTTGCTTAGGTAACAGTTGGCTTTTTGGCTGTTGGATCTGTTTTTGTTGTAATAATGAATGTGCATGTGCAAGACTCATTCTTGCTTTCAGGTTTCTTTTAGAGCCCTAAGAAACTCCCTGTACTGCTGCCCAACCAGTTCTTAGATGATACAGTAAGGAGTCACTGTTTATTTCTCCATATAGGGACATTAATTCTTTTCCTCTTACAGCTATTTTCAGTTTGGGCAGTGGTCCCTGTTATCCACAGTAAGATGTGCATGGGCAGTCACATTGTCACCTACTGAAAATGCACTGACTGCTGTGCAGATAGATAGAAACATCTCAACCGACACTGCTGAGGGTGTTTGGAGTTTTTCCTTTCAAATATTTCCAGATTCCTTTTAACAGGAGGGCTAGATTTGGAATAGGCAGTTATGTGAGTAACAGCTTGAATGGTTCTATTTCTGCTTTATGGGATTTTTTTTTTAGTTAACTTTTTTTCAAGCAATTATTATGAATATTTATGTCATGACAAGAGTTGCAACAAATGACCTAGGATAGTGCAAGGTTCCAAAGCAGAAAGGATAAATATCTAGGAACATGCAGTTCATCCTGCTGATATTCTCTCCCATCACTGTGAGACTGTTTTGGGAAGGAGGACTGTATGCATGTCTGTGTCTTCTGGTAAGTAGGGCTGCACACAGGCTTAGGACTCCATATTACCTCATGCCAGTTACTATTCCTACCTACAGCAGACTTCATACCCTCCTTTATTAAATGTACTTGTTTAACACATATTTTTCTAGAAGCAGTGGCTTAGGGTTCAAGATGCAGTATTAGAAGTAGTCATGTTTCTAGTTAGAGAACAGGAACCTTGTGGTCCTCATTTAATTGTCTTTATGCAGGGCTTAGCTGTAAATTTTTCCACACAAAGATGTGAAATGCTTCAGTGCTCATGCAGTCATCACAGGCCTAATTGTTTGATTAATATGTAAAGCATCATAGTTATTCTTCAAAGACTTGCAACCCTCACCTCTGTGTTTAGTGCAAGAAGGTTAAACACTGCTAACTACTGTAAGAAATTACCTGCTTTAGGAAGACTTTGAAGTATTTGAGCATAATTATGTTGCTGTTTTCAAGTGATGCGCTTGAAGACAGAATTATTTAATTTTCTTCAAATGCACATAATTTCACTAGGTTCCCACCTCGGTTGCTGCCTGACTCATCATTTGAGTCAGATGCCTTTTTCTGGAAGACTCAAAGAAATCACCTGTCTTCCAAACCCTAAACAGGACACTGTGCCCTGTATTTCCAGAAGCTTCTGCACATTTATTGGTCCCAGAAATCTACAAGCCTGTTTGTTTCTGCAGCTCAGGGTGTATTTAACACCATAGTTCAAAGTGGTAGATGCGGATTATTTTTCTCTGTCTTCTCAAGGCACAGAAATACCTTTTGGGGTGCTGCCATCCAATATAGAGATATATTTGGTCCTATTCAATCTCTCTCTATATATAAAGGAGCAGAGTGATGTGCTAAAAGGTCTCTGACAGTAGCTTCAGCCATATCACATCTCTGTCAAAGCCAGTGCCTGATAAACTGAAATCCTTGAGGTGTGGTGACATGGGGGAGTGCTCTGTAGCACTACTAGGAAGTTACTAATCTGTTCACCTACATCAAAAAATGATGTTGTAGTAACACATGCCTTGCGATCAGGGTTGGGTACTCAGTTTCTGCTGTGTGTTTGGAAATAGCTCAGTGCTTTGTGCCTTGAGTCCAGAGACTGCTGTGGGAAACAAACATCATCCTTCTCTCTCTGCAAAAGAGTTTTTCCAGTGGCAAAACAGCAGATACAAGGTATCAGCTGGCAGTAGAGAGGAGTTTGGGGACTGATGGGACATCTGGAGGACTAAATTCTCCCTTCCTGCTGCCCTGTACATTAGTCTTGGCTGTAGCCTGTCTGACTGTACAGTCTCCTTTACTGTTTTCCAGTTTATCTGGCTCTGGCCATGAAAGAAGAAAGATTCAAGAACATTATTTGATAAACTTGTGATGGTAATTGCTGAATAAGAGCTTGCATCAACACCTACTAGTCTCCAACAAAATTAGTTGCATCTAAAGTTGCATTTATGCTGTAGGGGCTGCTCAAGAGTCCAGGCTACAGGCTGAGATGGTTGTGGTCATCACTTTTAACGATGCTTATCCTTACTAGTTCAAACTGCTTTGAAATGACTAGGCTTGCTGGAACATTGCTCTGACACAGGCGGCTTTTGTGAGGCATTGAATTTATAATTTGTTTTAACTTTTCTCCATTTTGGGCAGGAAAAATTCCACCTGAGAGCACATTGATTTTCAACATTGACCTTCTAGAAATTAGAAATGGACCAAGATCTCATGAGTCATTCCAAGAGATGGACCTTAATGATGACTGGAAACTATCCAAGCAAGAGGTGAGTGGGTTATCCTTCTCTATGAGCAAATCTAACAGGGTGGGAGAGTGGAAAAGAATGCACATCTCTGCTGCACTGCTCTAACCATGCATCCTAGTGAAAATTCTGGAGTGGCGGTTCAAAAGGAGCCTTGGTAAGCTGAGAACAGACATGTGACTCATGTTCTGCATGCTCATTGAAGACTTGGATAAAGTAAAGCATCTTAGAAATAAAACCAGACTTCAGGACTTCTTAGATTTAACTGCTGATTTATTAATAAACTGGGATTTCTTCTACTGTAGGGCAATCCTACTTCATGGCATTCACACTGTAGGGCAATCTTGCTTCATAGCATTCACTCTGTGAAGGACATGTAGTCAGAAGTATTCACCATCTGTTTGCCTCGCATTTTCAAACTTCTGCTTTTTTAGCAAAACTGATCCATGGGAAGCTAGTGTAAACACTGAGTTCTTTTTGATTTGGGTCTGGTACCAGTTTACCAGACTCAGAAGGCTAATTAATCATTTGTACTATGCATCAGACAGTGTCAGTGTGCATAATGTCTGCATATTAGGAATGTAAGCAATAACCCTAACAACTCCCAGGGACTGAAGTGACTCAAACAGACCTGAAACATGGCCTGTGGTTCTTATACAGGTGGTATCTGTTTAATAGATGAGTATGTTGGTATTGTTATTTTTGTAGAAGGCTCTACGATTCAGAACACTTGGGATCTCCATAGTTAAACCTTAAAACCATATTAAAAGCAATCTGATATTGTTGAAAACACTGCTTACCATTACTGTCTAGCTTAATGTAAGTAAGTAAGTGTTCCAGTGGTCTGTTTAAAACCCGCCTTGGGTCTTCATCCATAAAAATTTTGAGATATCTAGAAAATTTTTAATGCACTTCCCACTGAGCAGCAAACACTGAGATTGTGGACAGATTTCTGTATACATCTGGGGTGGCTGTTTACATGTATTGGGTTGTCAGGGTGCTAGAATGTGGAAAAGCTATTTGACCAATTGGTAGCTAATGACTTCTGCCCAGCTATTTTTACTTTAGTGTATAGACATCAGAAGACAGGTTGTCCTGACTCATTTTTGAGAGTCAGATACCATAAAGGTATGGCAGCAGCTTTGCTAGTGTTACTGTCATTTCTATCACTAAAGACCCTTCATTCAAAGAGACTGCAGAATCAATTAGACAAGTATTCTGGCAGTGGCATAGGAGGGGAGGTATCTGTTATCTAATGCCACTATCCTGAGCACAGTGTCCCTCTGTTATGCTGCAGAAACTCGTAAGTCTGAAAATGTTCACTCTCACCTTTTGTCCAACAGGTGAAAATTTACTTGAAGAAAGAATTTGAAAAGCATGGAGCAGTGGTAAATGACACCCAGCATGATGCTTTGGTTGAAGACATATTTGATAAAGAGGATGAAGACAGTGACGGGTTTATATCTGCAAGGGAATTCACATACAAGCATGATGAGCTGTAGAAAGAAAAGGGTGGCATAATTTTTTTTGACACAAGCGGTGACTTAGACTGTCTGGTTCTCGTGTCATCTTAGTGTTTCAGAATTGACAATTGCTGTTGGCAAAGAAACACTTTGTTTATATAAAAGAGAATTTCTGTTCATTATGTACAAATGTTTTAAACTATTTTAAAATGTGAAAATGTACCTCCTCTTATACAGCAAGGACTTGCACATTGGTGTTTTCAAAATTTTGTATTAAATTATTTTTCAGAAGTGAAGCAGACTTTCCATTTATCATTCATTATGAAAATCAAAATGCAGTTCAGTGACTTTCTGTGATTTGTGTGCCAATATCACTTTCAGCAGCTACCTTATGTATTATTTGTATTCTGTGGCTTAATTACTTGACCTTCCTTCTTGAGTGTCACTGCCTAAAAAGCAGTTTACTGACCTTGGGTTTTTTTCCTGCAGCTTTTTAAAAGATGTAGTAGAAGGCATCAGCTTATCTTTATATGGCTGAGAAACTGACACAAAGCTGAATGAGAAGAATGATTATCATGTGCTGATTTTGGCTTTCTAAAGGGAGAGTGTTACCACCCATGCCAATAACTGTCTGCATTTTTCCTTAAATTTTGTGAACAAAGCAGGAGTTAAATGTCAGACTTTCACTTCTACTGCCAGCAGTTCTAGGAAACATCTGTAATTTGGAAGCAGCAAGTTGTGCTGCAGTGCAGAGGTGGTGTCTTTTAAATGTACACACACATTTGTTTTGAAACTCAGACTTGGCATTCACCAGAAAATCTCATACCTTTCTCTCACAGTTTGAGGGGGATCTTAAGCAGAATCTTACAAGTCTGAAGTTTTTCCTTTTTGCAGAAGAGAGTGAGTGTACTGAGGGAGGATCATTATGGTCTGAAGAACAGTTTCCATGGGCTTATCGGCTTTGCAGCTGTGTGAGTTGCAGAACTTGTTTCCTTGTCCCTTTGCAGCATTTTTTCACTACTAGCACACAAGTGATATAAATTTTAAATGAAAAAGTGAATTTTTAGAAAAACAGAGGTTTGAGGTAAGTGTTATGGTGCTGTGTCTGAACAGAGGTGGAGAGCATTAGGATTTCAAGCACAAAATTGGAGTTCAAAAAACTTTTTGGAGAAGAAGGAATATTTTGCAATTGCCAATGCTTTCTTAAACGAGAGGGCAGGGTATCTCGGGTACAGAATTTATCCTGACATCACTAACCTGTGGATCTATGAACACAGCATTGTACTTGAAAATGGTTGCCTAAAGCTATGTAAGGATGCAAAGCAATGGAAGTGAGATTGCTGCATTGCACAAATCCTTAACTATCATGAGCTGCTTTCAAGGCTCTCAGTGCTGTAGGTGTGTTAGATGTTTCCCTGCCATCTAGTGTTGCAACTGAGGAGTAGGGGACTGCTTTGAACTGAGCTCAGCTGCAGAGGGGAGTGTAGAGAGGCCTGTCAACAATGACAACCAGGGGAAAAGAAAAGTTGTAAGTGAGGGTATGCAGTGCTGGGGTGTTCTGTTTTGGTTTTCTTCCGGCATCTCACATTTTGTGGGTGATGTTCTAAGTGACGGGAAATTGCAACCATGTATTTTGTTTTTAGTAACCTTAGGTCTTCTTCCTCAGTGATTGCCATCTGCTTTTCTTCAACCTAATAAAACCTTCGCTTCTATGGCTATGAGTTTCAGTAAAATAGTGTAGGAAAGTGTTTCCCTTCTGTTTTAGGCTCATTTCCTGCCCTTAATTTTTTTACTGTGAAGAAATCATGAATAGTCATTACCTATTTAGCTGTTCTTACTAGTCATGGTTTTGCATATTGATTTTTTTTTACTCATCACTTACAAAAAATCAAGCTTGCCTGACTTCAGTTTGCCCAAGGCTGGTAGCATGTTCTGTGCTGGCCGTCTTGATTTCCCCTACAGTCACTGGAGCACTGGGCAGCTGGGGGCAGATCCTTGCACGTGTGTTTGTCTTGTATTGAGATAGCTGCCTTACTAAATAGAGTCTTCCTCTGTTGACTTTGTGGGGAACCTAGACAATTATAGCCTAGGCCAAAGGAGGATAACAGGATAAGAAGTTGATCTCTAAGCTAGTTTTGCCCAGATGTGGGGACTGGCAGGTACCCAACCAACTGACGGGGAAATACTCTGTGTGTGTGTGTGTTTTCTGCTGGGAAGAGCAGAACTGAGACTTTCAATTGGGTCTGAGAGGGTTTTAGATCACTGTTTACAGTGTTTCGCATGTTCTCAAAACATCTAGCTCTGGAATGAAAGCATAAAAGCATGGAATAGAATTTACCCATGTTACTGACCTAATACATTAAAACTTAAGATTAAATAATGGGGTGCCAATATGTGACTCCAGTAAGGCCAGTGGTTTCTTTTGTATTAAATAGGAGTTTATAGTCAGTGAATGCTGTGAAATGTACATAGGCATAATCTTCTGCTTGGATTTCTAAAGCATTTCATTAAAATATCTTTCAGTGAGCATATATTTGTTAATGCCAGCAGAATGTTAAAGCTGCAAGACCAAGATGCCTTATTTGGTGTTGTGTATAGGTTTATGCCAAATGAGAGTATGGTTTTTCTTAGTAATTTTCTTGAGAGCTATGTTAAATTCTGAAATTGAACTGAAAATGTTTTTTTTAAGTGCGGAATCAGCAGCAGATTTGAGAAGTCACTTAAACTTGATTATCATTTGCCACCGTAAAAAGTCCTCCTGTGAAGATGAAAGGCTTTCTTAGGTAGAAATAGCACTGCCTGTTTTAACCTCGATTGCATTTGCTTGTTAATCCACAGGGCAAACTGCTGCTGTGCCAGCAGGAGCCAGCAACAACACCAGAGCCAGGCAGCTGCCTGGCCCCCAAAGTGGGGAGGAATACTGGAACTTCAGTGGCACTCAGGAACATTTTGGCTGGCTTGTGCATAAAGTGTGAGGTGTATTTCCCCTGAAGAAACAAACCTTCACTCTGCATATCTCTAAAACGTGGCACTTGAAATCAAGTCGAAAGGGTTCAAAACAGAGCACTTTCCTTCTGCATCCTATAGCTTTCTTCAAACATTTCTTGTTGGTTTGTGGTTATTTGGGAAAATATATGGTGATGTTTTTTAGAACTGCAGTCTGTCATTCACCTAGAACTGCAGTCTGTCAGTACCTAACAATTACAGTGGGAGTTGCTGCCTTCTGTAGGCTTCAGAGCACATTTTATTTGGAAATTTTTGATATGCAATGCAATGACACAAGAAAGCTTTTGGCAAAGCTTCAGGAATGGTACTTTAGTCTGAAATGTTTTTTATAGTTTTCTTTTTTTTTGAGATAAACTGACAAGGCAAACAGAATGAATCACTTTATTTAGTCTTAAATCTTCAATAACTTATGCCATAAAATTAGAGAATCATTTATTTTGGAAAAGACCCTAAGATCATCTAGTCCAACTGTTGACCCAGCACTGCCAAGTCCACCACTCAGTTATGTCTGAGTGCCACATCTACATGTCTTTTGAATACCTCCAGGTGTTTCAGTGGTTCCTCTACCACATTCCTGGGTGACCTCTCCCAATGCTTGACAACCCTTTACATGAAGAAATTTTTCCTAACATCCAAACTAAACCTCTCCTGGTACAACTTGAGGATGTTTTGTTTTGTCCTGTGCCTTGTTCCTTGGGAGAAAAGTTCTACCCTCACCTTGCTCATGACATCTTGTCAGGCAGCTGTAGAGAGTGAAAAGGTTTTCCCCTTCAGCCTCCTTTTCTCTGGGCTAAACACTCTCAACCCCCTCAGCCACTCCTTGTTAGACTTGTGGTCCAGATCCTTGAGCAGCTTCATTCCCTTTTCTGGATGCATTCCAGCACTTCAATGTCTTCTAGTGAGAGGCCCAAAACTGAACACAGGGTTTGAGCTGCAGCTCACCAGGGCTGAGTACAGGGGGACAATCATGGCCCTGGTCCTGCTGGCCGTATTGCTGCTGATCCAAGCCAGGCTGCTGTTGGCCTATTTGGCTACCTGGACTCACTCCTGGCTCATGTTCAGCTGCTGTAGGCCAGCACCCCAGGTCCTTTGGCAGTGCTTTCCAGCACTCTGCCCCAGCCTGTAGCACTGCCTGGGGATAATGTGACCCAGCCCTTGGGGGTTGAACCTCGTTCAGTTGGACTCGGCCCATTCATCTAGGCTGTCCAGATCCCTCTGTAGGGCATGTCCTTGTGCTGCCAGGAACATCCCAAGCACAGAGTGTGTTTTGGTGAGTGCAATATGTTAGAGAGTCATAAAACTGCAGTGCAAAGTACATATTGAACAAATTGTTGCCATAAATTCTTCTTCATGATATCTTGAATGAAAGTGATACATACTTGATTTCATACAGGTGAGTACCAGCAGGATTGAGAAAGTTCACTGCTTTGGGGCATCTGGGAAAAGACACAAGCTAGGGAAAATGTCAGAGAAAATGGAATTATATAGTGTGAAGTGAGAAATGCAAAAAGATTTTCTTCCCTAGATCCTTTGGCATCTGGTTACTTGGAAGAAAGAGCATTGGCAGCCACTGGTGTAGGGACTGCAAGTAATGAGGCTAGTTCCTGTTTTGATTTTGATTAGAAACTACTGCTTTGGGAAGTTCCTATATGGAGTTTAAGGTAAAATTTAAATTCACACTTCCAAGGTTTGTTAAAGAGTTTTCAGAATAGGTATATTGAGTTTATGTCTTGGAAATACATTGGCATCATCATGGAGTTTTTGCAAAAACCCCTAAAACACAGCCCAAAACAGACTACCCCAAGCCTCTTAATTTGTCTTCAATACCGAATTGTTTTTGGTAACAGGAAATAAATCAAAACTGCTTATATTTGTATAATCCTGGATAATTTTAGCTCCTCTTGAAAGTTAATCGTAATGCTTATATTCTGTGTCCTAGTTTTCTCCTGGTTCATAGGAAAAACAACTCTGACAAAATAAAGATCTTTCTTTAGCTGTACTGCTTCTGTTTGCATGCCTGTGCTTGATTATGTCAACAGTTTCACACAAGAAATATAATTGACAATCTCAGTGGGAGGCTGTATAGGGACAAGAACTTGGTTATCATCTCTTCCATCCTGGAGGGGATTCAGATGGAGGCTCCTACTGCATCACATTTCTTCCTCCTGGAAATTTTTGTTCAAAAAAAAAAAAGTTGGTTTAGCTAGGGTTATACCTGGTCAGAGAACATATGGTATTTCTGTTGAATCAAGTAAAAAAGTAGGAGCTTGGTTTATCCGAGAAAATTGCC